CCAAAATTACTCAGTGAATTTCTCAAATGCGGTGAATGCCCCAGATACAAGTTGCTTTGCTGTTTAGAGATCATCGTTGTACCAAGTTGAGAGAATAACAGTGGCTTTGTTCAAAGGAGGTCAGGGCATGGGGAACTTCATCTATCTGAATTAGAAATTGTTCAGAGGGTCTCAGGTTAATGCTTGTGTCTCTAAGGATATTATCTTCAGAGAGCAAAATGCAAGAGCCTGTATTATTCACTCATCACATGATACAGAACTAAAAACAAATCTGTGTGTAATGGATTATTGTTAGTAACTGCAAAACAAGTATATCTGAGAAGGTCACGTTCTCAGAATAAGAGATCAGCCATTTTGAAACTGCATGAAATTTCTGAGTTGTACAGGTTACGAAGGTTAGCAAATCTTTCCTCAGAGCACAGACTCTCAGTCATTGAGTACATTCATGATTGAGATCAACAGATTTTACAATGCTAAGAGAATGAAAGGATACAAGGTTACAGGGGAAAAATAGAATTGCACTTGAAGATCAGCTAGGATTTCACTGAATGGCAGGAATGCTTGAAGAGTCAAATAGTCTACTCTAGCCCCAACTACTTCTGGCTTAAAGACTTGATAAATGATATGTTTAAACAAGTTATCAGAGATAGTATACTGTGGTATATCTATCCGTGTTATACAGCGACAGACCTGTCCCCACCAGTAGTACACCCTATTTGCTAAGCTCAGCGTGCTCTCTCCATTGACAGCCCAGCTTTGGAAGGTCAGGATTTATAGATTAACGGTTGGTTATTTCTGTAGTTCAGTTCAGACACACAAAATTCCACAACCCGTTTTACGCTGGAAAGAACTGGAAAGATGCCTTTATATTTCTCTTTATGATAAAGGTCCACCACAACAATAACCTCTGTTTATATTTGACCAAAGTGCACGATCAGTGCACTTTTGCTGAAGTCTCGTGCTTTGAGAACTCCAGGGGTCCATAGATACACACACCCTTTTTAAACAAGGGGCAAGCTACCTCTTGAAACAATTAGGGAGATAGCAAATCAACCTAATAGTAGAGTCAGAGCCTCTGTCCTTCAACTGTCAAGGTCAAAGGCTATGGGATTTTTTTAAAAACATACTCTGTATATCTCTCATCTCCTACACACATCACTGCTCAGGGTCATCATTAACCTTTTCAGCTGTTAGGAACAGAAACTGACTGCATGGACCTTTAGGGTCAGGGTCACTAACAGTTGACGTAGAGGTAAAGGTTTATTACAGTTAATCACTGGAATGGAGTAAATACCTTCTCTTTAATGGTATCAATTGCAGAGAGACTGGAAAGAAAGAAATAAACAAAAAACATGACTGAGAAGTTCTCTGATGGATCCAAGTATTTATACATTAGTAGTTTTAATTGCCTGGATACAACGCCGTGCAGTGGTTGAGGAGAAGAGACTGAACCCATAGCTTCAAAGTCCGTGACTGATCAGACCAATGCTCATGGTTTGAAATCCTCCCACAAGTCCAGAAGGTATAAGAACAAAAGGTTTTAAACTGCATCAAATCAGGAATGCTAGTTTTTGAGAGGAGCTATTTGCAAATATGATGCGTTGCAATGCAGACAATTTGATAGCCATATTATGACCTCAGACTGAAATTATATAACAAACAAACAATGACCCAGTTAACCAGGAGTTGTCAGTCCCTGATATGCTCAACCCAATGTGGTGCAAATGCATTTGAACGGTTGAAAGACAAAAAATAGCTTGCGTTTGTATAGTACTTTTCAGCGCCTCAGGACACCACAAAGTGCTCAACAAACAACTAAATACTGAGAGAATTAGTCACTGCTAAACTGTTTGTGCACAGTAGAATACCATAAACAATATGATAACCACCACATGATGTTTTTTGTTGGCTGAAGGATATGTATCAAACCAGGATACTGGTGAGAACTTCAATCTTTAAAAGGGAACCCTGGGATCATTCATATTCAGCCACAAAGGCAGTCAGAGACTCAGGTAAGTGAGTCACTGAAAAGACAGCACTTCAGACAGCTCAGTTCTCTCTCAGTACTGTACTGGGAATGCCAACCTGGATTACACACTTAGGTGCCTGTAATGAGGCTCGAACACATGACCTTTTGACTCAGAAAGGAAAGTGCTACCTAGAAAGCCAGGGCCGAAATGGTGCTGTTCCACTGTGTGTCAGAGATCCAGGCTGCCAATGGCCAGCTCCAATCCTCTAGAGTAAAACTACCACGTAAAAAAGGAAAAGAGACACAATTAGACATAAACTGAAGATGACAACATTGATGAGGTTGCCAAATCTGGTTGGACAATATTCCTGGAGGTTATATTATGTGACATCCCAGTCCAACAGCCCTTTTATTGCCCTCAGTTTCCAAATTTTTTTTTAAAAACAAATAAAATGTTAAAGAAAAAGAAAAAGAAAAAATTTAAAATGTGTAATGCCTCTAGAATTTTTCATTCAACTTGCGCACCGTCATGTCCAGAAGATTAACTTTACAATTTCTGGAATATCCAGGCATATTTGGAAGATTGGCAACCCTAACAGAAAGCAATTGTAGTCCTTTTATATCTTTTGGCATGAAGCTTTTAGGAGATTTATATTCTTTGAATAGTTTATTACTTTTTTTTAAATACATGTCTATGTCCACACAGCTCGGACAACAAGTGATTTGCAACAAGTGAAAGCTTCTCTGGTGCAATCTTAGAGTCAGTCATGGAATGGAAAACAGAGGCCAGCCGTCATATCACAGCCGACTGACCAACGTTAAACATTTCTGATTGATACCTCTCTGATGAAAATGCAGATCCCGTTGCCTTAGGAACAGACATCTGGTCGCTTGCCTTTGTGCTGGCTCATTCCCACTGCCTGCTGTCTAGATCAGAGCTAATAAATAGTACAAAGCCCGAGTGTGTTTAGGGTCAATGTCGGGGGCGCAGGATGGGGGCGGGGTGGAGGGTGTGTAAATGAATACAGTTAGAAGTCGATATTGACCTCATGCATGAAACCATATTACAACCAGGAAGTGGCCAAAGGGCTTTGAAAAAGATCTGCACTCTTAAAAAGCATCTCTCCACCTGGTCTGTAAATCAAAATTATCATTTTATTGCCTCAGGGTCTCAAAAAGACTGGCTTTCTTCACTCTAATGATTACAGCCATGACAGTATTTTCTCTTTATTCATTCAGGGAATGTGGGCATCACTGGCTCGAGCAGAATTTGTTGCCCATGTCTAAACTCTGAGAAAGTTGTGAAGCACTTTATCGTGTGTATTGAAAAATTCTCAGTACACCAGTTAACAGAGGAGTCAAAAATACATGGGATCCTAGTCTCTTCAAATCAGACCTAGGCACTTCTTCACTCAAATGATGATGAAAATAGGGTACTGTCTCTCCTTAAAAAAAAAACTTAAGGATGGAGTTCAAATGAAAATTTCAAAGCCACATTTGATACATTTTTGTTAGGCAAGGATAATAAGGGATAATGGAATCAAGTCAGGTCACAGAGACATACAGCACGGAAACAGACCCTTCAGTTCAACTCATCCATGCCTAAATCAGATATCCTAAATAAATCTAGTCCCATTTGCCAGCATTTGATCCATATCCCTCTAAACCCTTAGTATTCATACACCCATCCAAATACTTTTTAAATGTTGTAATTGTACCAGACTCCACCATCTCCCTCTGGCAGCTCATTCCAAACACCCACCATCCTCTACATGAAAATGTTGCCCCTTAGATCACTTTCACATCTTTCCCATCTCACCTTAAATCTATGCCTTCCAGTTGTGGAATCCCTTGTCCTGGGGGAAAAAATCTTGTCAATTCAACCTATCTGTGCCACTTATGATTTTACAAACCTCTATAAAAGGTCACCCCCTCAGCCTCTGCACTCCATGGAAAATAGCCCCAGCCTATTCAAGCTCTCCCTATTGTTCAAACCCTCCACACCCAGCAACTTCCTTGAAAATATTTTCTGAGCCCTTTGAAGTTTCACAACATCCTTCCTATAGCAGACAAAGATCAATCAAATTCTAATCAGATAACAGAACAAGTTTGAGGCTGAATGGTCCATTCTTGTTCCTATATACCCACTGTCTTAAAAGGCCCATTGACTGTCCACTACTTGTTAGCTTGCACTTGCACTCAGATCTGGGTCAGTAGTTGTGCATTAAGACCCAAATCCAGGCCTTGAGTATTATCAGAGGTAACACCTTTTGGCTGAATACTTAAAGCTGACAGAGGAGAAAGAAATGCTTCAGTATTCACCTTTTCACCAATAACAGTCATCCTCTTGGAAAGAAGGCAATGAAGAGCCACATTCTTGAACCACTGCAATTCTGATCCTTTGTCCAGCTCAATCAATTGATATTTATTTTGTCTTTTTGACAATCTAACAACTTCAGGGTCACTTCTACTGATTTTATTTCTAGATGTTAAAGTTCAAATTCTCAAACTACTATTGATGGGATCTGGATTGACATTGTTAGAAATTCAGTCTGGGCCTCTGGATTACTTGGGAACAACATCTTGCATTTATATAGCACCTTTAATGCAATTAAATGCCTCAAGGCACTTCACAGGAGTACCTTAGAAAAAACATTGGACACCGAGACCGAATAGGCAATTACGAGGGTGAATGGCCACAAGCTTTGTCAGTCAGTTAGGTTTTCAGGAGCATCATGAAGGCAGAAACTAAGATAAAAAGAGAGGAAAGATTTAAACAGAGAGAATTCCATAGCTCAGGGTTAGATAAAGGTGCAATTTATGTAGCAAGTAAAACTGGGGGTGCTCAAGAGGTCAGAATTAAAGCATAGTGATTGCTGAGGGTTGGAGACAACAGAAATTAGCGATTGGTTTGGTTGGGGGGGGGGGGGTGGAGGAGGAGGAGGAGACAAGAGAAGGTGGTGTGAGCTCAGTAAGCTAGCCACTACACTAAACAATTTTTATAATTACCAAACATCAACAGTCAGCTTACCTGCACAGCAACCCAGCTTGCATTGGTCGTGTGTTCTCCAAAGGGACCAAAGCCTTAAAAAAAAAATCAAAGTGTTCAACATTACAACACTGGGAAGTACAAACAAAACTGATATTTCAGAAACAGGCTATTCAAACACTAGCAATAGACATGTGACAATCTTTTGCTCAGTTTTTGAATGAAGTGTTAACCGACTCTAGATAGTAGCCTCAGCTCAAAGTCTGGGAGTTCAAGACCGACTCCAGAGTCTGACGTACTTGATCTATGCTAATATGGTCAGAAGTCACATGACACCAGGTTATAGTCCAACAAGTTTATTTGAAATCATAAGCTTTCGGAGTGCTGCTCCTTTGTCAGGTGAAGCCAGGCTAAAGTGCACAGTGCAGTGGGAGTGCTGCACTGTCAAAGATGTAGAATCACAGAAGGCGTTAAACTAAAGCCCTATCTTCTCTCTCAGGTGCAAGTAAAAGATCTCATGATACTATTTCAAATAACAAGGGGCCTTGTATCCAGGATCATTGTATTTTACTGTTGGTGGTTGAGGAAGAAACAATCACTTGGTGCAGTATTTGTCTCATTGCTTTTTATGGGGGGAGTCTCTGAATGAATAAAACCATTGTGATCTTTCTAACATGACATTAGTTCACAATTATGTTTCAATTTTTATATTCCATAGAATAACAAAAGGACCAAGAGGATTACTCATAAGAAAAAGTGACACAGTAGGTGATCATGAGATGTGGGCAATGCAGACTAGGTCAGCATTTATTGCCTGTTCCCAATTGCCCTTGAGAAGGTAGTGGTGAGCTGGCTTCTTGAACCAATGGAGTCTTTGAATGTGGGGACACCCACAATGCCTTTGGGGAGGGAATTCCAGGATTTTGATCTAGCGACAATGAACGAATAGTGATATATTTCCAAGTTAGAAAGATGTGCGGCTTCAAGAGGAACTTGGAGATGAGCTCCAATCTCAATTGCATTAAATAACTTGAGTTTCTGTAATGCATCTGGTAGATGGTACACACTGCTTCCAACGTGTTTCGGAAGTAGAGGAAGTCAATGTTGGATAGTGTGTCAAGCAGGCTACTGAAGAGCTTTTTGCTGTTATACTCTTCTCGGCAAGTAGGGAGTTCATGTTACATTCCTGACATGCCTTGTAGATAGTGGAAGGATTAGGGAGACAGGAAGGGAGTTTTTGCCACAGAATTCCTAGCTTTAGAGCCACTCTTGCAGCCACAATATTTATATTCCTTCAGGTAAATTTAAACATCTCACTGCAGGAAGAGAGTTGTAACCTCATCTAAAGCACAATGCGACATCAACTTCAACAGACTACAGGAAGTTAATGGTAACAAAGGTTTGCTGTGGAGACGTGACAGATTTGCGTATGGGGTAGTGCTGGGATCAGATCAATGCCCTTAAACTCTGACATTGAATTAAAAGCAAATGTCAGCCAGTGAGTGCTTTTTCTACCCCCAAATCTGTCTGCGCCCATCCCTCTGCCTCCAAATCGGGGCAACATTTTGCATCACACATTCAACCTTTGCCAACTACCATACAACCAGGTATGCGTGTATTGCATGCAAAACAAAACCTATCACTGTAGATACACGTGACAATAATAATTAAAATCAAAGTACAAACCTTCACTAACATCACAGACTCTGATCTAATGTTATGAAGAATACAAAGTAATGGAAACAATGCAACAGAGTGAAACATTCTGGTTTGACACCAGTGATGAGCTCAATCCCGGACATCGCACCTCAGTTAGAAAACAAGAGAAATCAGAGGGAGCCCAGATTAATGAGGCTAAGAGGTAAATTATGAGGACTGATTGTACAGACTAGGCTTTCACACCCTTGAGTTTAGGAGTTCTTAGAAGGGATCTAATTGAGGGGTTTATGATGATTAAAGGAGTTGATTAAGGTCCAGATAGGGAAGCTATTTCCTCTGGTGGAAGAAACCCAGAGCTGGGGAGCATTAACCCTGAAACAGCTGGCTCAGATGTGGAGGTTACATCAATTATTAATAATTCTTCATACAAAAGGAAATCTGCAAGTGGCCCTTCAAATAAGATCTGGGATCAACTGAAGGTTCCTAAACTGACACTGATCAATTTTACCTTGGCAACGGCAATTGAAGCTTATGGAATGAAGGGAACTCGATCGATCCATCATCTCATTGGATGGCAAAACAAACTTGATGAGCAGAAAGCCCTCTTCCTGTTACAAGAAACTTTGCTCGATGACATTTATTTATCCTAGTCACGCCTCCTTTCTCAGAGTATGGAATATGTTGACAAAAACAATAGCTTTCACTGCTCATCTCCCTTTGGACCAGAGCTTCCCAGATTTCTTCTCGCCATGACCCGCTGACACTTGAAAATTGTCAAGAATTGACAGCAGCAAGTTAGAACAGGAGCACAGCTGTTGTTACTTGGTCAGATCTCTATAGCAGTCATTACTGCTCAGATCTGGCGATCCCAGAATTGTAGCTCCGGGCCCCAACTTTCGGAAGTCCTACTCTAGAGTGTTTCTCTAGAGTGAGAAATTTCACCTTCCAGAAGCAACTGGTCTTCTAATTGAGTGCCTTGCTCAGTCAATTCAAAGGATTGGAATTTTGCACCTAAAGGAGTAAGTAAAGTGATTAACTTACTGAAGGAATAAGTAAATTGATTTACCAAAGGAAGAAGTAAAGACATTAACTTACTGAAGGAGAAAGTAAAAAGATCAACAACACAAAAGGACCTTTAGATCGAACTCTACACAATCAAGATGAAACATCCGCTGAAACAACAAATCCTGTCCCGACAACAATAGAAGCGCTAACCATCACCCGCTTTGCAAGACACTGGGAACAGATTAAAGTACAAGACTTGAGGAGGGGATTGGCGCATGACAGCAAATGTATATAACCTTTGAAATCATCTGTAATAGCTGAGAAGTTCGGTGAGGCCCCTTTGAGGTCCCTGCTTCTCCCAAAAGCTTTTGTTAATAATCTGTGTCTGACTCACTGTAGAATCGTACTTGGTAATATTTTACCGACAACAAATTGGCGTAGTCGGCAGGATTCTGTCTACGGTTTGGACAGTGTGGCCATGGCCCGGACACCGGGACAGGATACTCAACCCAAAGTTAAGTGAGTTGGACCACAGTAGTTTAATGATCTGTTGAGTGCGAATGTGAGACCGTCTGTCGTTTGAGTTAAGCAAAATCGGACATGGAGATACCCGTCTCTAACACGCAGCCTGAACCGGTTGTTAAGAGAGGATTCCCCCACGCGAAGGTCAGGACCCTAAAGGGGGCGTAGAGACTGGAGAAGAGGTACCTGGGATGTGATACTCAAACGCACAGTGCGAATGTGATGTGTGAAACCGCCAGGGAAAGTAGTAAATCGGAATACGGGGACTTGATCACTCCCACAATAGGTATTGCCGGACTCCGATAGGAACAACCCCGAGTGAGACACGGCCGGTGGGAAAACACGAACAGGACGTGGCCGGTGGGTTAAACGCAGTCGAGAGATCGGGGGAGATCGAACGATCCTCTACTAGACCTCCAAGCAAGTTGATCGGGAGCGCAGGAAGTTGCGCGTGGGCAATATAGCCTTTGGAACATTGTTAACATATAGAGTGATAAGATACGGTTTACGCCGTTTTAGTTTAAACATGTTTAAGATGATGTATGTGGTCGCGGTGTTCCGTATTGTCATGGTTGCAGGGGTGTCGGGATTAGAGGATAACTTGTTTTACAAGACCCACATACATCTACACGGTAATCGGACCGTGTGCTACCCACTTGCCCAGTCAGTTGAAGCGTTGTTTGTAGCCACCCCTGGGTGGACCCCCTTTGACCTATACACAGCAGGTACGTTAGACACACCCTGTGTGGGCCGATCCAGTACATATCAACGAGGTATACAAGGGAGGTGTGTAGAGCTGATAAACTCAAAGTCCCCCAATTGTGAAGGAACTCAGGGAAAGAACGGCACAATATGTTCAAACCCGCTAAGGTACCCGCTTTGCTTCTCAGGACAGGGATGAGGGTGCGCGTACGCTCTAGTCCCCAAGAACGCCTCCTGTGTGCAGATGCAGTGTTCCCGCCGGCATTGCCAAATGCACAGAGGCCTGTTTACGTGCACTTGTGATGAGCAACGATGTCTAAACGTAACTGCAGGTAAACAGTTTATTTGTGGACAGTGCAACCGGACCCATGTTAGTTCAGCCGCATGGACGTACCCATTTGATACCTACCAACTGGTGGGGTCAGGCGGAAACTCCAGCCAGCCAGGGAACTGGTGGTACAAACAGTTCATGCAGGAAAATGATCAGGAGGTCAAATGCTATCGAGCCAAGAAAGGCTGTGTGTTCCTCCTCAATGGGACCTTCACAACAGCCACACCAACCCTCCCAGTCCTCTTTGCAGTAGGGACAATAGGACCGCTTACCGTCCCGTGCCCCCAGAGAGGACACACCCGTAGGAAGATAGTGCCCCGAGCCATTAGCGAGAAATTCTGTGCAGACTGAGAGGACTCGGGAACACTGGGGTCTTCACTTGGCTACGGGTTCCTCGGGGCCCTGTCTCTGGGGAGAGCAGCGGGAGTCATTGGTGCCAAAAATAGGAACTACCTCATCTGTGGGCTGACCATCCTGGGAAATAGCACGGCAAGGGGGTTGGATGCTATAAACCGAGAGCTTGCCAAGTTACGACTATGCGCAGCAGACCCGGTATGCCGTCGATTACCAGTTAGCCCAGCAGGGCGGGGTGTGCACGATAGTAGGACACAAGTGTATAACACACGTTACGGATGAGTCCTATAACATCACCCAGGCCATTGACGATATCCGTAAATAGCTTGATGCCTTCAGGCAAGGCCCCGGGAAAGGGGACGGTTGGCTCGAGTGGTTCCTAGGTGGCTCTTGGGGGGGCGTACCTTCTGCATGCCTTAATTATATTGATTGTCATCATTGCTGCTTGCTGTGTTGTTATGGCTGTCTTTAATTCATGCTGTAAAACATTGACTGCCAGAATTATGACCAGACTGTTGTGCG